AAAATTATAAAATTATTTAAAAAGTCATGCATCATTAGAAAACATTACAAAAGATTTCAAATAATGAATATTCAACTCTGTAAACAAATAGTATATATGTCTTGAATTATTATTTGACTATAGATATAAGACAATAAAGAAAAATCTAAAAAGAGACGCCAAAAGTCAATAAATCCTCAAGACATAAGTCAAGAGTCGACTCTAGAAAAACTCAAGTCGATCCAAAGGTAGAATTAGTGGAAAACTTGAAGAATACAAAACTATAATCGACCTTAGCATGTTTATAATTGACCCTATAGCAAAAAGCTCAAAAAATTGAAGAATTACACAAACATAGTCGACTCTGGCTCTTTTATGGTTGACCTTGGCAAGCCTGATGCTTGAAAAAAAGGGAAAATAAAAGACATAGTCAACCCTAGCTTCACCATAGTAGACTATCTCAGCCCAAATTTGCAAAAGACATACTCTCGGGAAATAGATCAAGTAGAGGAAGGCCATTCCCGACTACAAAACCTTAATTTAAAATTTTTAAAAAATATAATTGACCCTAGAAGCATTATAATCTACTCTTAGAGCATATAGTTAATCCTCAAGCTTTAGCAATGGACAGATTTAATTCAAACTTATATCTAATAGCTTCAAACTTCATTCTAACTATAAAAAGTTACCCTTGAGTCATTTGGAAAGAAAATAAGACCAGCACACATTTGAAAAACCCTAGAAAGAAATCCACCAACTTATTTTTCCTTTCTAGCCTTCATCTTTGCCTTTCATCAAGCTTTGAAGAATCATTCACTTAAAAATCCTTGAGAAAATATTTCTTCTTTTTTCACCAAAGCTTAAACTTCTTTGTATCCAAGCTTAAACTTCTTAGCACCCAACCGTTGTAAGGCATTCTTGCTATACTTTGTACACATCTTGTAAAGGTTCTGACTGAATCTTAAAAAGTTATTTCTTGAGGGTTGTGCTTGCTCTAATGTAAAGGCAGTGTTGCGGGTTTTGGTTGAGCTCATGAAAAAACCATTGTAAGGGTTTGTTGGTTGATCTCGTCAAAAGCCATTGTAAGGGTTTAATGCTTGATCCCATAAAAAACACATTTCCTTAAATGGCTTTCAAATTCCTTAGTGTTCCAAAGGAGTAAATGTGAGAAAACTAAACTACTATAAAATTTGTGTCTTGGTTTTAAATTTCCGCATTGTGATTAATTGCTTACATTTGCCATATGAAAATCTTTTCCTTTGTTTTTGTTACACTTGATGGTCCTTTAAAGTGTAAGTTTGATTTGACAAAGAAGTGATCGAAATTGTTTTTCAAATGTTCAAACAAGTCCAAACGATCCTTTAAAAAGGTTTAACAAAAGGGCTAAATACTTTAAATAGAAAACAAGCAAAAAGTCTTTTCAAATTTGAAAAATGTTATCAATCTATCAATAGATGTTCTTCATCTATCAATAGATAAGCTTATCTATCGAGATATTTTCTTCATCGATCAATAGATGCATGGCATCTATCGATAGATAACCACCTTAGAATGCTTCAAAATGATTCTAATGGAA